GTTCTGTCTGGGTGTGTCTTAAACCTCTGGAAGAGCAGTATCTGTTACTCTACAATTTTCACTTTCTTGAGTGAAATGCAAAAGAGACTAAGTGAGAGGTAAAAGGCCCACACTAGTGATTTAGTATTTCTGTTTTGGTATCTAATCTTTTCTTTAGTTTTCACCATAGTTGTTTGTTCTAACTTGTTGGCTCAGATTGTGGTATTCAGAACATTTTTTTGGTGTCCTCCTCAAATGCCATCCTTTCCTATTGTCTGACCTCTCTCTGCCTCATGTTTGGTAAGAAGACCTGGGATCGTCGCAATCCCAAACGAGTGTCTGTGCTGGGTGTAGATGTTTTTCTACATCGAGCGAATGTGCTATAGCCCAAAGCTAGAGAAATGAAGGGAACGACCTTTGAAGTAATCTTGACATATTTGGAGAGCATTATTAACTTAAACGATGGGAAATGGGTAGTAATTTTTTTTCTAGCAGAGAAGAGCACTCATTATGTATCATCTCAGGTGCAGAAGGGAGAGAGAAGTTAACATGGTCGCCCCTTCGAGTCAATCTGCCTAGACGAAGAGGAGAGGCGCTCAGTCCTGTGCTCCCCGACTGCAGGAAGGGGGTGTTGCTCTGCAGCGTTCCCTTTATAACTTAATATCCTAGAGTTCATGTGAGTTCTCTGTCCACGTACCAAATTCTCAAGGAAGCATCTTTAACTTTCACAGAAGGGTGGTGGTCTTACCCCATTTGCATTCCTTTGTTTGTTTGTTTGCTTTTTATCCTTACCCAAGGACATTTTTCCATTTTTTTTCAGATAGAGAGGGAGGGAGAGAGAGGAAGAGAGAGAGAGAAACATCGATGTGAAAGGGACACATCAAGTGGCTGCCACCTGCACGACCAACCAGGGGCAGGGACAAACTGCAACCGAGGTACATGCCCTTAGCGGGAACCGAACCCGGGTCTCTCCGGACCGCAGGCCGACGCTCTGACCACTGAGCCAAACCAGCCAGGGCTGCACTCCTTTTTCATATAACACAGATTCTATGGTTTGTGTTATTCACCTAAATCCAATAACTTATTCACAAAACAGTCTTTAACATGTTTCTAAGGGTAATGAACTTGAAGTCTCATGACCCAGATTCAAGTCCAGGAGCCACAACTTACCCATTCATATGACTCTGAACTTCTGTACCATATTTTCTCTATTTATAAAATGCTGATAATAATAATAGCTGCCATATTTTTATTCTCATAGAGTTGTTTGGGGCATGAAATAAGAATGTGGATATATTGTGTGAGGTTCTATAGAAATATATATGTTTTTGTTCTTATTTTGCTATTTTAAAAGTTTTTAAAACATTGATCAGATTCTCTTACACTTCAAACTCCTTTCAGGCAAATTAGTAGAGTTACCAGAGAGGCAAAAAATAAATAGAAATGAAGTCAATGTAAAGCAACTGTAGGTCATCATGATACCTGTGGACTCCCTTGATCCTCTTGGTTCCTTTGAACCTCCTTACTCAGAGTGTGATCTGTGGGTCAGAAGGGCCGGCATCACCTGGGAGCTTGCAGAAATGCAGAGTCTCCCCCCACCGCCCGCAGACTTCCTGATGCAGGGTCAGGATCTCCAGGGGCTTTGTGTCTACACTTGAACTTGAGAAGCACAGTATAGCACACCACCTGGCCTGGTGGCATGTAAGGTGGCTCTACACAAAGCAGTGAACGTGATTTCGATTACTGGGTTTGAAGAAATCAGAAGAAAGTATTGCTAGCTCACAAAACCAGTTGCTTCATAGATTTTCTTTAAGGGGGAGCTAACAAGTAACCATTCAATAGACTTACGAAGTAGTAGAGTAAGTTATAGTTGCATATAGCAGAAATTATGAAGATGGCTCTGACGATTGGTTTCTGTATAACTTAGTCTAGAAGCTTGGTGGGATTTGCAGCGGGTCATCGCAGCTGCGAGGGACCTCCGAGGTGCCTTTAGCCCCAGTCAAGGGTGCACATAGAAGACACAGCTCTCGTGCTTGCCAGGCACCCCGGATCAGACTAGGGGTGTCCAGAATCACCTTGAACTGACCAGATGAAAATACAGACTGAACTCAACGCCTGGGGGCCTTGCTTTATCTCTCTCACTCAGTGCTCTGTTGGGAAGAGTTCAAGCACCAAAATACCCAGTATTTCTTTATTAACTACTTAGAGGAACTGTAGCGACAGAAGAGTCTTCAGTTTCTTTCTCTGTACCAGACTCCAGCTAATTGTCCAACCTGTGACTAGGTACTCAGGAAAGTTTTCATTCCCCATAACTCACTTTCTCTTGGGACACAATTATGGAGTTGAGTTCAATTCCTCATGAGGTCAGTTTTTTAAGATTTTGCCCACACCTTTTTCTCCTCTCTTTCATTTCTTCAGTAACTTTCAAAATGACATAAGTAATAACAACTAAATTCGTAAGCACCCAGCATGTAGAAGGGGAAATGCTTTGGAATCACTACTGTGCTCGCACGAGGGCCTGTGGATTTTCCCTGAGCCATCCAGTTTCCCACACATGCTGCTAAAATAAGCACCTGTGTTCTTTTTCAGTTCCTGTTCCCATTCTTTTCTCAGCCCATTATTACTCTATCTTGACATTATACTTTGATTTTTATGGTCTGTGATTATCCACCTGAATCCATCATCTTAGCCAAATGGTGGAGTTTAGTTGGGAAGGATTTCCTTGGAAATGAACCTCTTTAGCCTATTGATTGGTGTTGTTGCTCCCCATGGAAAGCTTCCTTGGAAGAAGAACCTGAAATCACATTTATATCTACTGGGGAAAAAAATCTGAAACATGAAAAAGGTATTAATATTTTAAAAACCCACTTTTATGGAGATTTATAAATCGAAGAAGGGTAATAACTGGCACTATTGTAAAGAAAGACTTCTATGGAAATTCTTGAGTCGTCTGTACACAAAACTTAGGTATATAAGATGACAGTGTTTACAGCATTATTTATAATAGCCTGCACTGAAAGCAATCTCGGTGTCCCCTAGGACAGCCTATAAGTAGTACCATTGTTGAGCTAGTGGAATAACATTCAGCAGTTAAATACGTTAGATTTATAGGGGAAAAACAAGATGCAGAAGAATGAATAATATGATACCATTTGTATTTTAAGAAATGAGTGGGTGGGGGTGGGGGAATAAAAGGATGCTACCCGTAACAGGTAACTGTCAATTCTGGGAAGAGGCCCAGGAGAAAGAGAGAGACCTTTAATTATTATAAAATGTATACTTTTGAATTTCAAACAATTCTGTGCAATAAATATTAGTGATTCAGATGTGTTGTGAGACAGTGATACACCATCACATCATTTTCTCTTCCCCCAACCCACACGCCCCTCCTGTCCCCACCTGCATCAGTGCTCTTCATGAGTATTAACTGAATGTCTTTACTTTTCCAGGGGGATGATTTCTCTTTTTATCCTCACCTGAGGACATTTTTGCATTTATCTTCAGATAGAGTGGGAGGGAAAGAGGGAAGGAGAGAGAGAGAAACATCAATGTGAGAGAGACACATCGACTGGTTGCCACCCACACAATCCCAACCGGGGCCGGGGACAAACTGCAACCAAGATATGTGCCCTTAGCGGAAACTGAACCCGGGACTCTCTGGTCCACAGGCCAAAGCTCTAACTGCTGAGCCAAACCGGCCAGGGCAGAGGGATGGCTTTTGAGAGAGAAAACAAATATCAGTGAAGTGGCCAAAATGTTGGCAACTGAGGGAAAAACAAAGACTTTGCCCAGGACCAGAAACAAAAGGCCCTATGTAAAAACAAGCCATTCTTGTGGCCAGTGTGGCTCAGTGGTTGAGCACCAAGAGATCGCCGGTTTGATTCCTGGTCAGGACACGTGCCCAGGTTGTAGGCCTGATCCCCAGTGGGGGACATGCAGGAGGTGGCCAGTCGATGTTCTCTCTCATCAATGTTTCTTTCTCTCCCTCTCACTTCCTCTCTTTCTAAAATCAATAAAGGAAAAAAAAAAAAAAAACAACAACAAAAACCAAGCCATTCTTTCTTTGTTAATTTCAGTTAGTCATTTAAAACAATTCAGATAAACATAATGGCATTTTCCTAAAGAAAAATTTGGTTTGGTTTTCCTGGATAATTACTCCAGTTGCCTTTTGTTCCTATAAGGAACACAAGGTTATTAAATCCTCATTTCCATGGCTAGTTTGAGGGTGGAGGCTTTGGGTTATTGATGAAATTTTTTTTGAAGTAGATTTTTATCTTTTGTTTTTTTAAAATATGTTTTTATTGATTTCAGAGAGAGGAATAGAAAGGGAGATAGAAACATCGATCTGCTGCCTCCTGCATGCCCCCTACTGGGGACCCAGTCACAAATCTGGGCATGTGCTCTGACTGGGAATCAAACTGGTGACCTCCTGGTGCACGGGACAACACTCAACCACTGAGCAACAGCAGCCTGGGCGACTTTTGCCTTCTTGAAATAGGCCTACATATGCCTGTGTCCCCCCAGGGCCCAGGAAGTGCATTTGACACCCAGGTTGAGTTATGAATAGATCTCACTTTTGCTCCTCACCTTTTCCAGTTGCTTAGCATTTTAAATTTACCCAATAGCATTTTAGTTAATTATTTAAAAATTTTAGGTACCTCAGATTTAAAATCAAGTAACTGTTCTACATATAAATATTATTTTAATATTTAATATAAAAGTTAGTAATGAATATTTTCCAGTTTCTAGCTCCCCCACCCGTCCCCTTCCTCCCCCAGGATGGCTTCCAGTGTCATCAGCCTGCCCCTTATTTCGCCTTTGAGGTTCGTCTCTGGATGTCTGCGCACCATATCTGGAGATATTTTATGCCCAGTAATAGCTCTTCTACCAACTTTCATACATGGTTGAGTAGGATGTTTTTTCAACTTTATTTCTGGTTTTTGCTGCCATGCAAGTACTCCCTCTGCATCTTTTTCTTCTAATCTGAATTCCGTGGTCATGACCATGCCCATTTCTTTCAGATGGGGACTATTTTACCTTTACAAGACATGAACCCATTGGAGTGTGCGGACAAATCATCCCGGTGAGTGTATCTCCTCGTGCTTCATATTTATTTTCATTTGAGCCAGTTCTCTTAAAGATACATAAAACATGGATCTCAGCGATGTGTGTTTTCCATTACTGGGGGGAAAAAAACCGAGCTCATGTTGTTGACATATCTTTAACAGCCTCCCTGCAAATGCTTATTTGAACAGGTTAATAGGGTTTCAGCTCCGTTACCAGGAGTTGAGTTCTCAAGTCATGGAATTCTCATGATTAAAATAAGCAAAGCCAAGCCCAATGTATTAATAACCTGCCCTTGGTTATGGATGTCCATTCGGCTTATGGAAAACTAATGCTTTGCTATATTTGCTTGTTTATTTTTTAAAACTGTGAATCACCATCTTTCCAGACATATTGTTTTATATGGTCTTTTAATCCCATTCTTTCCCACTGTTTCTTTTCACAAGAATCTAGATAGAAGACTCTACAGAAGACACAGCAGTACCATTAACGTCACGGTCATAATTGAAACCATGCCGGGCTGTTGTGTGTCTTGTAAAGGGAAATAGATGTAGTGCTTAGTGTTTGGATTGGAACATTAAACATTGTCTTTTTTTTCTGTCTCTCTCTCATACACAGCCTTGGCACTATACAAAACACCATCGAATCTCCCAACAGTTCCAGCTAATCGTTCTGGCAAGGATTTTAGGGGAGGCTCAAACTAAACTCTTACACTGTAGACAAGAAGTTTTCTCTTTTCAAAATACAGGAGAACGAGTTAAGATAATCTTTGGCCTTGAGGGCCACAGATTTCTGAGAGGCATTCATGTTCTTTTCATGAGCTACAAACTCTGCGTTACTGTGAAATATATTAGAGAATGAAAACAAAAAACGAGAGAGTTGGTTTAAGTTCTTCTGCTCCCAAACCACCAGGGAAACCCCACTTGGATCCGAGCAGGGTGAGGTCTGTCACCTTAATGGCAGGAACTGAGACCTGCTCTCCTCGCCCTTCACAGACTCTGGGAGCTGCAGCTTTCACTGACAGGACAAGAGTGCTTGTCAGCCAGCTCCACTCAGTTACCGCGCCCCAAGATTTATATGCTGTAGATGGAACTGAAACATCACTGTGGACTCCCAAGTTTATAAACAACTAAGGGGAAAAGAAATTGGGTGTTTGGTGAAGGCAAGACACTTGTATATTTTTGCAAGCTTGCCAGGGCCAGTGAGAATCTTTCAAGGATGGCAGCTGAGATGCTTCAGGCAGAAACACGTTGTGGTCAGGGACTGAAGTCGGGACCAGGCTTTCTGTTTTCTTTCTTAATGAAATTATCAACGACACCTGATAGTCCTGAGGCTCATGCCTGCTTATGACAATTCAAGCTCAATATTCTTTTAAAATTAGTTTAAACCATTTTTGACCCCAAATTCAGATACTCACATACATTTTTTTAGTCTCCACGAGCTTATTTTGCAATGGAAAGGAAGCAAACTAAAATTTTTGCATACTCAAAAAATAAAGGTGCGTTCTTTTTTTTTTTTATCATTATGTTTTTATAGTAATACATGTATGTAAAGAAAAGGCACAACCTTGAAATACGCATTGACTCAAATATAATTCACAGCTGGAATTTTCTCTTCTAGTTCTTCCACACTGGAGAGCTTTCATACCAGTCTGAAATTCCTGGTGTAAAAATCACAAATGCAAGAAAAACTTTTCATATACAAGAACTTACTGGAACCAAACTCTCATTTTAAAAACATATAAAATAACAACAATGAAACACCAAAACAAAACAAAGAAAAAGCAAAGTCTCCGTTCTCACTGTGCGATTTCTTTTGCTGGGTAGTTAGAATTTAGTAATTTGGATTCTCAAGGTCAGTCCTATTTTATTCTTAATGAAGTAATTTAAAAATCCAAACATCTACACTTTGTGGTGGGACAAGATTTATGTTGAGGGCTAGTCTGAGAAATCTGAGAAGTCACAGCTTGAAAACAAAGTAGCGGAGGGATATTTTTCCATCTATCAACCTTGGGTTTTTTCCTTTCAGTGGAACTTCCCCCTGCTGATGTTTGCCTGGAAAATTGCTCCAGCTCTGTGCTGTGGCAACACAGTAGTTATTAAACCAGCAGAGCAAACACCACTCAGCGCGCTATACATGGGAGCCCTCATCAAGGAGGTAAGAGAAACTGCCTTCAGGAGCGGCCCCCGCCCCGCGAGGCTGGGGCCTTTGGGGCATATCTGACTGAGTGTGCTTCTTCAGCTCTTACACGCCACGTTTCCTCCCATTCTGTTTTGTTAGGCTGGCTTTCCACCAGGAGTCATCAATATTTTGCCAGGATATGGGCCAACGGCTGGGGCAGCAATAGCTTCTCACATTGGCATAGACAAGATTGCCTTCACAGGGTCTACCGAGGTAGGTACCTGGGAAACCAAGGGTGGAGACGCAATCCTGCGAAGGAGTGGGGGGGGTAAGAGAAAACGGAAAATGTTACTTAGAGCCTGGACACCAAAAAGCAGTGGGCACCCAGGCCCTCCGAGGGCAGCCTTGGTATAGTAGCCGGAACAGGAGATCTCCAAGTCGACCATTGAGGCCACAGACCTCTCTGATCCTTTTTGTGATGCCATCTGTGTAAAATCTGTCCCAGAAAAAAAAAAAAAAAACCTTTGAAAATAAAAGGAACGCAGAGGCAAAAAAACAGATACACTATTTCAGAAGAGAGTTTCCCAATAACTGGGTTTATGAACACTTTCTTGAGTCAAGAACAGTAATGTCAGAAGCAAGTTGAGAAGCTGGAAATGAAACTAATCTCTGGTAGAGATTGAAATGGGAAGCTTTCTCTTCTATTTATTTCCACCAGATCCTGTAGATACAACTGGCAACTAACTATGCCCATGAGTCGGATAGAGAGCAGGGGTCAGCAAGCTTTGTTCCGAAAGGGCCGGGTAAGGAGCGTAGACTCCGCAGGCAGTGCGGGCTCTGCCGCAGCCGCCCCGCGAGGCCCGTGGAGCACCACGCAGTCGCTGTACAGGCTGAGCATGGCTACGGGCCCATAAAGCTTTACCGAGAGATACTGAAATTTGAATTTCATATACTTTTTACACCTCACAAAATATTAATCTTTTTAAGATTTCTTTTCCAACCATTTAAAAACACAAAAGCTGTTAGCTTGTGAGCCATACTAAATAGGCAGCAAGCCAAATTTGGCCTCTGAGCCAGTTTGTTGATCCCTACCTGCTACAGTCACAAGTCTGCTTGGAGAGGTTTCTAATACAGTGTTGCTCCCAAATGTCTTGGATTGAGGTACCAGAGGTGACAGAAAAGAGAGTCTGAGTCAAGTAGACCTTCACAGATGACACCATTATTGAACAAAGGATGTTTGCAGGTCTAGATCAGTGCTACCTAACAGAAATATAATGAGAGCAACATTTGTAATTTAAACTTTGCTATTAGCTACATTAAAAAAAAATTTTAAGTGAATTAATTTTAGTAATACATTTTATTTAAACTGGTATTTCCATATTATCATTTCAATTTACTATCAGTATAAAAATTATAATCCCAGTACTTTGCATTCTTTTTGTGGTTGTTGTTACAGATGTTTCTCCTTTTTCCCCCATTTGCATTCTTTTTCAATACAAAGTCTTCAAAATATGGTATATAGTTTATATTTATAGCACATCTGAATTCACACTTCAACTTTTCAGGTGCTCTGTATTGGACAGCACAGATCTAGGAACTTGAGTATATCAGCTGATACAGTTAATGATACTTGGTTAAACTGACTCATGTTAAAATACTTCCTAAGAGATTGATTAATAAATGTGAGTTTTAATTTATAGTTACAGATGATTAAGTTTTGTTTTTGTCAACCTTTTATTTAGTTGTACCCTTATAATAATTTTGAAACATCTAAACCAAAATGTGAGTGTAAAAGAGAATCATTGTTCCTATTTAAACTCAGTATATTTCTGGATGGTGTGGCTTGCGTGTCTGGCTCACCAAAAGGTTGGTGGTTCCATGCTCAATCCCCGGGAGGGTGCATGCAGGAGGCAGCCGATGGATGTTTCACTCTCCCATCCATGTTTCTCTCTCTCTCTCCCCTGTCCTCTCTCTAAAAACCAATTTTTAAAAATCTTGAACTAAGTATAATGCTTTGAAAAAATTTGCTAAGGGCTAGATGGTTAGAAAAACTGCAGTCAATGAAGAGTGGACAAGGCAATTGTAAAAGACGGGGGGAAATATAAATCTAGATAGAGCATGCACCTGGATTGCTTTGCAAATGTTTTGAACTCCTCATTCCATTTTAAAGAAACTGAAACCAGAAATCTTAAACAATATTTTAAAGGTATGGTTTAATCAGAAAGAACAGGTGGACCCATAATTAAAGAAAAGTCCTTGGTCTTAGCTCCAAAGACTGGAGAATGCACATATTTCTAAAACTAAAAGGAAGTACTTAAAGTATCTTACCCTATGCTTCAACCTTTTTTTTATTAACTAACTGATGGTTCTGGTTGCTGGTTGAGTAGCTTGGATTGTATGATCTTTTTATAATGAAAATGAGATCATAATATATAAAATAAGATATACTTTGTATATGAGTCTCTATAGATTACCTTCATTCTTTTTGTTATTGTTGTTGTTGTTAATCCTTACCCGAGGATATTCTTTCCATTGATTTTTAGAGAAAGTGAGGTAGTTGGGAGAGAGCGAGACAGACAGACAGACAGACGAACAAATTTATTGGTTGCCTTCCGCATACACCCGGATCAGGTCTGGGGATCCAGCCCGCAACCCAGGTACGTGCCCTTGACTGGGAATCGAATCCAAGTCCCTCTGGTGTGGAGACGATGCTCTAACCACTAAACACACTGTCCAGGGCCACCTTCATTCTTTTTAATAGCTTAGTAGAATACTCTTGCATCAGTGTATCATATTTTAATCCTCATTCTTGTACACTTCATTTTTTTTTCACGTTTTTACAGTTTATTACATAGAGTATTAAAAATGCTCAGAGATCAGATTTGTGTGTGTGTGTATGTGCACATGCACGTGTATATGTTATTCTGTTGAATATGTTTTAGAAGTAGTATCGCAAAACAAAAGGATATTTATATGTTAATTTGCTTATAACCAAGAACGTATTAGAGTGACTGTTTTATTTTGAGATCTCATTATGTATTAAGTATGTTAATTTTCTGTTTCTTCTACAATTTGCAAATATTCCCAGTTTGTTCTTTGCGTTCTAATTAAAAAAAAAAAATGAGTTGTCATGCACAAGTTTTAAATTTGTATATAGTCATATCTTTCAGTCTTTCTCTTAATGGCTTCTGGGCTTCCTGTCATCTTTAAAAAAACCTCTTCAAGATTATACAAATGGTCTTCAACATTTTCTTTCAGTACCTTTATGGTTTTGTTTTTGTTTAAATCTTTAATCTGGTTGGAATTTATTTTCATATATAATGAAAGATGAGGCCTAAGTTTATTGTTCTTATAAATGAGTGTTCAGTTCCTTCCACACCATTTATTAAACAATCTATCCCTTGGCAGCTCATTTGAATAAAACATTAACATTATGTGATAAATTTCTATATATATATGTTTCTGTTTTGAGACTCAAAATTTTATCTGCCTATTTTTTTTTTTTTTTTTTTGCCAGTGCCAGATTACTTTAATTACTAGTTTTTAAAAGATGTGTTGCAATGTAGTGGGCAAGATAACCTGTTAATTTAGTTTTTCAGAACCTTTTGGCTTTTTTTGCCCATTTTTTCAGATAAAATTTCAAATCCGTTTTCTTTTTTTGCTGTAGAAAAATTTTAATTGAAAATATTCATGTTTTATTTCACATCATAGTGTTGCACATAATGGCCAAGCCATAAATCTTAATACAACAGGCTTCCTGTTTTAATTCAAAGCAGTCTAGTAAAGAACAAAACAGCCATTTAAAATAATTAATTATGAAAATTTTAATGTTGATGCTATTGCAGATACCCCCCCCCCCACTTTGCCCACCTCCAACCACCCCCACCTCCTCCTCCCTTGGCCTTCACCACACTATTGTTTGTGTCCATGGGATATGCATATATGTTCTTTAGATATTCCCTTCCCTCCCCACTGGCACCTGCCAGTTTGTTCCATGTATCCATGCTTCTGGTTCCATTTTGTTTGCCAGTTTATTTGTTCATTAGATTCCACATATTAGTGGTGTTTATCTTTCTCTCAGCAGCTTATTTCACTTCACCAAATACTCTCCAGGTCCCTCCATGCTGTCTCAAAGGATAAGAGTTCATTCTTTTTTACAGCTGTGTAGTATTCTAATGTGTAAATGTACCACAGCCTTTTTATCCACTCATCTGCTGATGGGTACTTGGGCTATTTCAGATCTTGGCTATTGCAAATAATGTTGGTATGAACATAGGGGTGCCTGTATTCTTTGATTGGTGTTACGAGATTCTTAGGATGTAGTTCCAGAAGTGGGATCACTGGGTCAAAAGGCAGTTCCAATTTTAATTTTTTGAGGAAATGCCATACTGTTTTCCATAGTGGCTGCACCAGTCTGCATTCCCACCAGCAGTGCACTAGAGTCCCCTTTTCTCAATAACCTCGCCAGCACTTGTTGTTTGTTGATTTATTGATGATAGCCATTCTGATTGGTGTGAGGTAATACCTCATAGTAGTTTTTATTTGCATCTCTGAAGATTAGTGACCTTGAGCCTCTTTTCATATGTCTATTGGCTATCTGTATGTCCTCTTTGGAGAAGTGTCTATTCAGGTCCTTTGCCCATTTTTTAATTGGATTGTTTGTCTTTCTTTTGTTGAGTTGTATGAGTTCTTTATATATTTTGGAAATTAACCCCTTATTGAATGTATGTATCATTGGCGAATTTGCTCTCTTGAATATGGGTTCTCTTTTCATTTTGTTGATGGTGTCATTGCTGTGAAGAACCTTGTTAGTTTGATGTAGTCCCATTCATTTATCTTTTCCCGAGTTTACCTTGCCATTGGAAACATATTAGCAAAAACATTGCTGCGAGGGATTTCTGAGATTTTACTGAATATGTTTTCTTCTAATATTTTTGTGGTTTTGCGACTTACATTTAAGTCTTTTATCCATTTTAAATTTATTCTTGTGTATGGTATAAGCTGCTGGTCTAGTTTAATTTTTTGCATGTACTTGTCCAATTTTCCCACCGTCATTTATTGAAGAGACTGTCTTGACTCCATGTATGCTCTTGCCACCTTTGTCAAATATTAACTGACCATAAAAGCATGGGTTGACTTCTGGGCAGTCTGATCTATTTACTAAGCACCTTTCCTTCTTCCCAAAAATTTCTCTTTGGAATTTTGATTGGTGTTACATTACCTTTCTATATTAAATTTAGGATACCTGCTTTCTCTACAAGATTCACTTCTCA